TGTCGGTTTCTGAAACTACACAAAAATAACCTCATGGAAACACATATGGGGTCAGTCCAACACCACTGAACTGCACATGGTGTCAAAAAAACTCTTGGGGTCTAAATGATCCCATCTCTTAAGACCACAGGAAGGTTAATTACCACAATAGAAGCCTATGAATAATGAAAAGAGGTTTAGTTTTCATTTTGCTGACTGGAGGTTTTCAACTGAAAACACTTTTATTTTCCCAGGTTTTTCTGTCAAGATGTTACTGTTCTTTTTAAGCTTGTTTTATTTGTTGTATAATTTCATGTTGCTGTTTATCGTACAGTGCTTTGTGATTTTATTCCTGTGAAAAGAGTTTATGTACTTACATTTCTTCCATTCCAGTCAATCTGTTTGAAATCAAAAGTTCACAGAAACATGCCAAGACAAAAAGAAAACAGAGAAAACATGTGAGACAGACAGAAATATAAACACGGTTGTTCATATTTCTGCATCGTATTACATTTACTACCTCTGTTTGACTGAGTTCAGCTCATTATCCTTTTGTTTCAGAGCAGCTCTGTGAGAAAGTAATCATTGGTTTATACCACAATATACAAAAAAACAAACTAATGTGCAATTCATTAGTTGCTTTACAGAGAGTCTAATGAAGAACTGTTTTGAACTGTTTAGTTTTATAAAGCTGTTGGTGAGAATAAGATTTACAGACATCAGATGAAATACTTACTCTGCTTCAACAAGCCTCCCTTTGTACCATGTCTCCATCTCAGTCAACCTGCATGAAAGTAGAAACATGTGCAGTAAGTTTAGTGTCAGGTGGAGACAGAGCTGAAAACTGCAGTAGGAAATGCTCTAATTATATCCTACCTGACTTTGACTGAGCTCAGTTCATCTTCCTTTTGTTTAAAATCGAGTCTGCGGGAAAATATTCATTGTTTTTCATTGGTAATAAAAATAAAAACTTTACATGATGTTTAATGTTTTGCTGGTTATACGTTGTGATATTCTTGTGTTATGTTATTGCTGTGTTGGTTTAAGTCTGCAGTGTGTTACAGATTGTTTGGTTTCGGAAAAATCGAATTCAACGGTGCTAGAATTCGTTGACTATTTTCTCCTTCAATCATTCCTTTCCTCTTCCTGTTCCAAGCCTCTAACTTTCTTCACCTTTTTTTTTATTTTATTAATAAATGCATATCCACTTTGTGATCATACAAGCCCTAAAACCATGTTTCCTTTTTGTAGCGTGAGGTTTGCCAAACACATGATTGAGCTGAGTTTTATGACAAATAAAAATGTATCGTTCCTTGTGTGCAGAGTTTCTCCTGCCAGTGGTTTCAATTCCTTCCTTCCTGAGAGATTGAATTTGACTTATGATTCCTCAAATGCTAGAATTGGTGCCCAAATTAACCTAAAATTTTTTTATTGTATTGATAATTTAATTAGTAACAAACTATTGATTTCAATTATAATTACCCAAGTGTAACCCACGTGACCGCCACGCCCCAACCACCTTCCCTTTAAGCCGTCCCTTTAACAGCTGGGACCCTCGTGTGTATTTCCGGGTTTCCACTATGCTGCTGCTCACTGTTGGTTGTGGCGTTGGTTGTTAATAAAACAATCTCAAATCTCCAACTCGACTCATCGCTGAACAAATTCATCCCTAAAACTCGAGGATCTGCGGTGAGTTAAGTACCATCTGAACTTGACGTTGTATCAGCAATACTAGCGCCGCTAATATATCCGCTGCAATACTCACCAGGTTGGGCTTTGTTGATGCCTGGTTTACCTTCTGATGAGAACAAGTAACATCCACTTCCTCAGACAATCCGTTACTCGATGGTGAGTAAATATTCATCCATATATGATGGGGCGTTATTTCCGCTGTGCGCCGCCAGTTAGCATTAGTTATCAACTCGACAATCAGTTGCCACATCAGCTCAGTCCACTTACTAATTACTTACTTAATAAAAAGTCACACTGTTAAAGCCAAATTAAAGGCCACACCTTTAATATTTAAAGGCTTCCCTTTCAACTTTAGATTTGATTATTTTTCATGATTTCTTTGTTTGTTGTTGTATTCCATGCTGGTGCATCTATGAAGTCTGGTACCTAATATGATTTTGTTTGTAGCTACTTTGATCAATCACATTCTTAAAGTTGATTGATTTTGATTTATTATTAGCCGTTTGTAGCGACTGCTAATTACTTTGAGAAATTTTGAACTTGAATTATGAAGTGCACTTTTCTTTTTAAAAGGACTTTTTTTTCTTATAAAATATGAAGTTGTTGTCAATACATAGCAGTATGTATTTGTTTTGTTTTTTCCCATTTAGCTTATATAAATATAACATTTATATATGAATTTAATGTATGTTTTCTGGCCTTTTAGGTCAGGTTTTTTTTTCTCCCCCTTCATCGACTCGCTTGATGACGGAGGATGGCGAGCTACCCACACACCACCTGGTGGTAGGAAAAAGAAAGACATTCTCCACACAGGAAAACCAAACGACACTTTTCACACAGGAAAACCAAACGACACTTTCCACACAGGAAAACCAAACGACACTTTCCACACAGGAAAACCAAACGACACTTTCCACACAGGAAACAAAATAAACTCTAAGGGAGTATCTAAAGGAAAAGAACAATTCTCCCGTTGCTCTTGGACTTTTGAACTATATTTAGTTTTGAAGTATTATTATTTCTTTGTTGGGTTGGGTTTTTTCCCCGTCCTTGTTTCTTTTGAACAATTTATTTTTGTTTAGTTTTTTTTGTTAGTATTATTATTATTATTGTCATTATTATTATCATTATTATTTCTACTGCAATAAATAGCAATACAAACAAAGCTCTTCGCATCAGTTGCATCAATTATCCACCCAATCATGACTCCATGCCGTACCTATTTCTGATTTTATAAAGTGGTTAACACTAAGCCCTGCAGTCAGACCTGCCCACTTAATAGAAGCGTTGCACAAGACATATTTTATTGTTCAGATTGTTCCTATTGTATAAACATTCTTATAGATGTTGACACTTGACTATAAATAACTTAGAAATTTTGTATCTGTTTAGTGTACAAACTAAGTTAACTGCAGAGTTTATTACTATGTTCGTCAAGATATTTTATAAAGTAGCATACTGTTGAATTGGTATGCTATAAGGTTTGTAGAAAGACACAGTTTTCATTGCCGCATTTAAATGAGGAGGTCGAGAAGTAAATGGTGAATAATACATGCCTCCCAGTGTTTATAGTTATTACACCCGACATGAGAAAACTTAAGCCGTAGAGATCACTGTTGCATCGTAAACCAAATATTTGTATTGCATTGAGAATGTACGCATCAGCCATTATAACTTACAAGATGTACATAATGGAGTTCTGGATAACATATTTGTTTGACAGATTTGTGTAAAGATTGGCCAAATTTCATTATTATTATTATTATTATACACATTTATACATAGCTACATAAAGGATTAAATAGGCTCATTAAACATTGAGGAAAGTTACCAGTGATTGTACTAAACAAAATGAAAGTGCAGATGTTCAGACCGAGATGTTAGTATACAGCAGAAGGAACAAAAGATCTTAAATGGCTCCGTTCTCCAGTGACAGGAGAGGAGCCTGTTGGTGCGACTACTCCTCTGAGCAAACAGATGTTTTGTAGACGGTTCCTGATTTTACATTCAATGAAAATCTTCTCCATCATTTCATTAATACAAAGTTTTTGTTCCTAGTTTAACATTTCTTATTTCTCAGTTTGATTTTCATAAACTGAAGTTTGGTTCCTCTTACCTCGATGTGGGCTTCTTATCTTTACCATTTTTCTTCTTTTTTGTTTCAGGCATATTGACTTTTAATCCTGCTGACAACAGAAACAGTTACACTCAGGAAACAAAAAAACAGACGTTTTCTGACTAACCACTCACTGGCTCTGTGATTTCTTAGTGCTACTCAGACCAACCAGACCTGTTTCAACAATCAGTGACTCGTTTTACAATCCCCAGTGAGTTATTTAATGCCTAATATCCTGATGGAATGATGGTGCTATACATATTCTGCTTACCAGGGGGAGACATGAGACACCTACCCAGGGAGCTGTGTCAGATGAGGTGGCGTGTGAACAGCTGAAGTCAGTTCACTCCAAAGCTCAATAGCATTAAAACAGAAACAATTAGAATAGAATAGAATAGAATATTGTCCCACACTGGGGGAGTTCAGACATACTTTATTAATCCCATGAGGAAATTAAACATTGTTGTAACTCAAATCATGATATTATCTTCAAAGAATTGAGGAAGGATTCCCAGTAGCAGTCTTGAAACAAAACTGAAGGGGCCTCTGACTAAAGACTGTTGTGGTACCATAGTTTTAGGACCATCATGACATGCTAAGATCTCAATATCCAGGAGGTTGAGAGACATGTTACACAGTATCATGTCCTGGACAACACCAGCATTTGTTGGCTAGCACAGACAAGATAAGATAAAAGAGCAAATATCTTTCCAGTTACACAGCATCTAAAAACAGATCAAATAATTGTCCAACCAAAAAATATATGAAAAATTATTAACATAAGTTCACAAAGAGCCAAAATCAGATCTAACAGCTGCTCCAACATGCTGCCACAATGAGCAGCACTTCTAAAAAAATATCTATCATCTTATGTGTTTTAAATTATAATATACCAGAAAGCTTTTCCTTAACAGTGCACACAATCGTTGTTTTGATTTTGTGTTTGGGCTCTATGACAAAGAAGAAAGAAACTTGTTGGGAGATAGAAGATAAGAAAATGAAAATGCAGGGTGACTATGTCAGTCACACCTTTTGATGTGATGATTCATTCACTCTGCTTTCCTTTTCAGGCCACACTGTGAGAAAAAAATTAGCTTCCAGTTAATTTACTGATTTGTTACCTCATTCCAGACATTTTCCTTTAATCAAGATAAATGTTCAAGTTTGCTTGAAAATGTCCTGATTAAAAAAAACAATTTACCATTTAAAATGGATGTTTTTAGTAGAACTTTATCATATATACTTTTAGAAGATAATCAATTATATTCAAGGAACATATTTTAGAGCTCTACAATAAGCAT